CGCGGCGCCGGCCTGCATCCCGGCGGGCGCCACCTCGCCCGGCCACGTGTGGTCGGCGAGCGCGCCCTTGCCGGGCGTCTCGACGCCAACCACCTCCATCCACTCGGGCGCGCCGGCGGCGAGCTCCGCGAACGCCGCCGTCGAGCCGCCCGCGAAGGCGAGGCAGTAAGCGGACACCCACCGCGAGCCTGGCGACGCGCGGCGCAGCGGCTGCAGCGCCGGCAGGCCGGCGGGGTCGAGCGGAAACTTGGAGGGCGGCGCGGCGGCGGCGAGGAGCGCCGCCTGCGCGGCGCTCACCTCCTCCGCCGTCGGCCGGACGTACATCGAGCGCTCGGGCTTGAGCCAGTGCACGGCCGGCTCAAACGCGTAGCCCGGCAGCCTCGCCGCGGCGTACCGCCGCGAGCCGTGCCGCGCGCGCCGCAGCGTGAGCGGCGCGCGCGCCTCCCACAAACCACACAGCGCGTCGGCAAACACGCGCTCGTCGGCGGCGCCGCCGGCCCAGTCCTCGCGAGGGTGGCGCAGCGTCGAGAGGACCGAGAGGGCGCTCGCGCCGTCGGCGGTGCACTCGGCGAGCAGCGGCGCGAGGGATGAGCCCGACCCAACCTCAACCGCGAGCAAGCCGTCTCCTCCGGCCTCCTTGGCGAGCGCCGCGAGCAGGTCCATGTTTGCGTCCCACCGCACCGCGCGCGACACGTGCCCCGCCCAGTACGACGGGTCGGTGGCGGTGGCGGCCTCCATCCAGCCGCCGCCGCCGTTGCACGCTAACGGCAGCTTTGGTGGCGCGAGCCGCACGCGCGCCAGGACAGCGGCGAGGCCGTCAGCGACCGACTCCATCAGGGGCGTGTGGTAGGCGCGAGGCAGCGGCAGCCGGCGCGAGCGGACGCCCTCCGAGTCGAGCAGCGCCTGTGGTGGTGCGCTGGTGGTGAGCGATCTCATAGTTGAGGAGTGAGACGCCCGAGTCGAGCGGCGCCTGAACTGCGAGCAGCGCGTCGTCGTCGCCGGCGAGGACGGTCCGGCCGCCGCTGTTGCGCACGGCCAGCCACACCTTGCCGCGGTGCGACGGCATCGCCGCAACCTCGGCCGCGCGCGCGGCGCTCAGCGCCACCGCGAGCATGCCGCCCGGCTGCGCCTCCTCGGACAGTCGCGCGCGCGTGGCGATGAGGGCGAGCGCGTCCTCCTCGGGGAGGACCCCGGCGAGCGTCGCCGCGACGAACTCGCCGATCGAGTGGCCGGCGAGGGCGGCGGGCGCGAGGCCGTACTCCTCGACGAGCGTGCGGCCCAGCGCGAGCTCCGTCACGAAGATGGCGGGTTGCGTCACCGTCGGCGCGTCGAAAGCGGCGCGGAAGCCGTCGGCGTCCTCGGCGCCGGCGGCGGGGAAGAGCCGCTCGCGCAAGTCGAAGCCGAGGAGGGGGCGCAGCGTGGCGCACATCCGGTCGACGTGCCGCCGGTAGGCGGGCTCGGAGCGGTAGATCCCCTCTCCCATGCGCGGGCACTGCGAGCCCTGGCCGGGGAAGAGGAGCACCACCGGCGGCGTCTTGCCCCGGCGTCTTGCCCCGCCGCCGCCGCCGCCCGCCGACTCGAGGTCGACCATGCTGCTGCTCTTGCTCGGCGATGGCGACGCTGGGGCGGGGGCGGGGGCCGGGGCGGCGGCGGCGGCGCGCAGCGCCGCGACGGCCTCGGCGCGCGTGGCGGCGGAGACGGCGACGCGCTTGGAGAAGAGCTCCCGGCCGCCGAGCAGCTGGGCCGCAACGTGCTCGAGTGGCGGCGCCCCCTCGCCTTCGAGGGCCGCCGCGAGCGCCTCCGCGGCGCGTCGCGCCGCGGCGCCCGACTTTGCCGAGACGCAGAGCATGTGCACGGCACGGCGCGTCGGGGCGGCGGCGGCGGCGGCGGCGGATGCGGCGGCGGCGGCGGATGCGGCGGGCTTGCCCGCGGCGCGGGGCGGCTCCTCGAGGATCATGTGCACGTTGGTGCCCCCGATGCCGAAGGAGGAGACGCCGCAGCGGCGCGCCGCCTCGCTGGCCGCTCCCGGCACGCCG